AAAGCTACAGTGAGCTGTGATTGCACCACTGCACTCCAGTCTGAGTGACAAAGCAAGACCCTGTCTCAGAAACACACACACACACACACACCCCCCCCAAACAAAAAGCTCACAATCATATTTTACGCTAAAACTAATTAAAACTCAGTGGCAGGCGGAAAGACAAGGCAACCATCTCTTCACCTTGCTTTACTATAGTGAAAAAAAAAAAAAAGCATGTCACTCTTGAGCTGATAAAGGCTTTAGAATGTGGCAAAATGTTTCAGACCTGGTAAGTTTGGCAAATGCTGCACAATACCTAATGTCTCTCTTGGAAATTCACAATGATTTTTTTTCTTTTTTTGAGATAGAGTCTTGCTCTGTCGCCCAGGCTGGAGTGCAATGGTGTGATCTTGGCTCACCACAACATCCGCCTCCTGGGTTCAAGCAATTCTCCCGCTTCAGCCTCCTGAATAGCTAGAATTACAGGCATGTGCCACCATACCTGGCTAATTTTTATACTTTTTAACAGAGATGGGGTTTCTCCACATTGATCAGGCTGGTCTCGAACTTCCAACCTCAGATGATCCGCCCACCCTGGCCTTCCAAAGTGCTGGGATTACAGGCGTGAGCCACCGTGCACAGCCAAAACATATTATTTATATAAAATTTAATGCATTTTATATGAAACATTTTATTATATAATGAAAATGAAGTTCTCTTAGGCGATCAAGATACAAAGAATAAGGTGTGGTCCCTGCTGGGAAACAGCATAAACTGGTTGACAAAAAATGTCTCATTCCTTCTTGGCCAGGCACAGTAGCTCACACCTGTAATCCCAGCACTTTGGGAGGCCAAGGTAGGCAGATTACTTGAGGCCAGAAGTTCGAGATCAGCCTGGCCAATATGGCAAAACCCTGTCTCTAATAAAAATACAAAAATTAGCTGGGCATGGTGGCACACACCTATAGTCCTAGCCACTCTGAGAATCGTTTCAACCCAGGAGGCGGAGATTGCAGTGGGCTGAGATCTTACCACTGCACTCCATCCTGGGCAACAGAGCCAGACTGTCTCAAAAAATAAAAAAAGAAAAAAAAAAAATCTTTCTATCTATTCATTATTTATTGAGACAAGGTCACACTCTGTCACCCAAGCTGCAGTACAATGGCACGAATATGGCTTACTGCAGACTCAACCTCCTGGACTCAAGCGATCCTCCTGGGCTCAGGCAATCCTGAGTAGCTGGGATCACAGGTATGTGCTACCACATCTGGCTAATTTTAAAGTTTTTTTTGTAGTGACAAGGTCTCACCATGTTGCCAAGGTTGTTTTTGAACTCCTGGGCTCAGGTGATCCTCTCACTTTGGCCTCCCAAAATGCTGGCTGGGATTACAGGTGTGAGCCACCACAGCTGGCCAAATGTCCCTAATTCTTGATAAAGACAGTTAAGACTTGCTTATTACTCCTAAAAATTCTAGGGGGAGACACAAGAAAGGGAGGAGATAAAGATCAACAAATATTGCCGGGCGCGGTGGCTCAAGCCTGTAATCCCAGCACTTTGGGAGGCCGAGGCAGGTGGATCACGAGGTCAAGAGATCGAGACCATCCTGGTCAACATGGTGAAACCCCGTGTCTACTAAAAAATACAAAAAATTAGCTGGGCATGGTGGCGCGTGCCTGTAATCCCAGCTACTCAGGAAGCTGAGGCAGGAGAATTGCCTGAACCCAGGAGGTGGAGGTTGCGGTGAGCCGAGATCGCCCCACTGCACTCCAGCCTGGGTAACAAGAGCGAAACTCCGTCTCAAAAAAAAAAAAACAAAAACAAAAACAAATATTTAGTGAGTACTCATTGAGTTTTAGAGACTAGGCACTAGGTAAATAAAAGCCAACATCTTCATGGCACTTACATGCCAGTTGGGGAGACTGACATATCAGATTAATAGTGATTTGAAGAAAAATAAAGCAGTATTTAAGGAGGTGGAAGGCAATGGGGGATCAAAGAAGGTCACTGGGAATGGTGACAAGCGTCTAGACCCGAATGAAAATAAAATACATTTTAGCCTTTGCAGTCTTATAGTAAGCTGTGCTTTCTATTCCGTTTATTTTTTTATTTTATTTTTATTTTTTTAAGAGACAGAGTTTCTTCATATTTGGTCAGGCTGGTCTCAAACTCCCGAACTCAGATGATCTGCCTGCCTTGGCCTCCCGAAGTGCTGAGGTTACAGGCGTAAGCCACCACGCCCAGCCTCTATTTTTATCAACACTATTCAGAAGAGTATGATCCATGGAAGAAACAGAAACCACTAGAGGCCATAGTACACAGTAAGAGACAAGACAGTACCACAGTAAATGACAGCAACCAAAGTTTTCACTGCTCCATGGGTCACATTTACACTATGTTTTTGCCACATACATTACAAAGCTAGCTTTTGCTATGATAACTACTTGTCACATACTGGTAGTTTCTATTTAGACATCCCTAAAAAGAAGGCAGCACAAGAAGAGAAGCTAATGCATTAAAAACTTCTTGAAATATATGAAAGAGGTAAGGCTCAAGAGCCTTTGTGGCCATCAACCTCAAGGTAAGGAGACTGATTATCCCCATTTTGACGTCTCCAAATGATCATCCTATTACATGACTAACTCTTCCTCAATACTAGGCCTCTCATTTTCTCTCTCCATCAATGCTATTCCTCACTGGACACATGTAAATATTTACATTATTATATGAATGCAGGCTTCAGTTGATAAGTAATGTCTCTAAGAAATGGCCAAAAGCTTCTATCCTGTTCCTTTATAGTAATTTCTCATGGTCAAATTATTTTTTACATACTAGATTTTATATTAGGTGTTCTCCCTAAAGTATTGTTTTAAGTGTATCTCATGAGTGTATCATGAAATCCCTACAATACAATTGATATAACAAATTAGTTTTGTGTGCCAGGCATTGTACTAATTGCTAGGTACTAAGCATACAAAAAAGAATAAACAAGATCCCTGTTCTTGTTGCCTTAGAAGTCAATACAAAAGACAAACATGGAAACAAATATTTAGGCACCATGTTTATGTACAAGAAGCTAATAGAATACATTGGTGAAAGAACCACCTAATTAATTCTGCCACTGAAATCAGAAAAAGCTTCTGAAAGACCACAACATTTGAGTCAGGTCTTGAAGAATAAATAGGCAGATGGGAAAAGGAAGACCCTGGGTTATTCAGGCAGAGTGAGAAATGGACACAGTGGTGAAGGTGGGATCAAACAAACTTTTTTTAATGAGGCTGGAGAAATGGGAGTTGGTGGTCCAGATTATAAAGGTTTTGTATGCCAAGCTAATAAGTTTGAACTTTAACTTGCCTTTGGGGGAAAAAAACCACTGAGGTATTTTAGGGAATAAAGTGACTAACAAGATTATATTCATAATTTAGAAAGAACACAAAGATGAACTGTGGATAATGCCAGTCAGAAGGCAAGAGATCAGTGAAGAGTTGCTGGAATAGGAGAAAGCCTGAACGAAGACAGCGACAGCAATAAAATTAAGAGTTAAAACTATAGGTATTGTATAAAGCGTCA